CCCCGCAGGTGGCCGTGCGGTGGCTGCTGGTGCCCGCGCTGGTGGCCGGGCTGGCCTACGTCGGCCTGCAGTACCCAGAGGAGTCCGCATCCACCATCCAGGCACGCCGGCCGGCCCCGCTCCATCCGTTCAGCCACCTCCTGCCCCTGTCCCCTGCAGCTGTCCGCCGCGGCTCGCGCCGCCGCGGCCGCCGTCTCCGCCCACAGTGCTCCCCTTGACTCCCGGCCCCTCTTACCCTCCCACAGGCAGCGCTCCTATACACCCGTGCCCACCCGGCCCTCGTCAGGTCTGCAATCCTCCCACCTCCCCCGCTTTACTGCCTTGATTGCACCGCCCGCTGCTCGGGCCCCTCGGCCCCGCTTTGCATGACAGAGCCCAGGACGCCCTCGGCCCCACGCCACGCGCGCCCGCCTCGCAACCCCTGCCCGCGCCTCCCCCCCCCCCAGCGCCGGCATCTTCGTGGCGGCGGCGGTGCTGCTGGGCCCCGACATTCTGGTCGCGGCCGCTGTGCTCGGCTCTGGCGCGCTGCTGGCCGCGCAGGCCGGCCTGCTGCAGCTGCCGACGCCCGAGCTGCCGGGCGCGGGCCTGCTCAGGGGCGCGGCGCGCGCGCCGGCGCAGCTGGTGGGGGCGGTCGAACGGCGCCTAGAGAGCGCGGCGGCGCCGGCACCTGCTGCGAAGCAGCCCGCGGCGCCCGCGCTGGTTGCGGAGCGGCCGAGAGAGCTCGAGGCGGCGGCCGCCGGCGGCGGCGGCGGCAGCGGCGGGGGCGGCGGCGACGGGGACGCGGTGCAGGCGGCGCGGGAGGCGCTGCAGCGGATGAAAGAGGACGCACTGCGGATTGGAAGGGAGGGCGGCGGGGCGCTGAGGGAGCGAGCGCTGCGCCTGGGGGGGGAGGGCGGCGCCGCCATAAAGGAGAGGGCGGCAAGGTGGGGCGAGGAGGGCGGCGATGCGCTGAGGGAGAGGGCGGCAGAGTGGGGAGAGGTTGGGGGGAGGGCTCTGAGGGAGCGCGCGTCGCGGCTG